TTTAACATTAATCTTATTAATATTAAAAATAAATTACAATCATCCTTTTTCTATAATAGATTGTCAATTCTAAATCATGTTATCCTTTTTTTATACTAGATTGTCAATTCTAAATCAAAGAATTACAATCATCCTTTTTCTATAATAAATTCTAAATCAATGGTTAAATCATGTGCATGTCTGAAGTGCGCTTACTAAAAATACCCTTATAAAAAGATATTTTCATAGTATCTAACAATGTATTCATTACTTTTTCGTTTCTGGTTTCGCGCAACTCTGTTGCACAGCTACTTATGGCATAATGATAATTTTGTTTTTACGTTGTCTCAAAAGATCGATAAAAAAGAACTGTAAAGAAAAAAAATTTTATAATAAAAATTATTACGAGTTTCCGAATCTAGCATTTTTAAATTTAGCCAGTACTGATTATAATTCTGGCCAGTAATTCTGTGGTCACACTGCATATTTAAAGAATTTTTATTCGATCAATAGAATCCTAGGTTTTTACTATCACAAAGAAAATTACAAGGTCACACCTTTTGCAAAGCGTTATAAAATCCAAAGCTTGATAACCCACCAATTACAATAATAAACAAAGCTCTTTTTACTTATATATTTTACCTTTAGGCCGTTTTTTAGTTGATATTAGGTTAACGTCATCCCCCCGAAAATTAAACAAGCCAATCATAACGCAGAATTAATACAGTAATATGTGATTGATTTTGACCAATGAGATTTGATCAAATATTTCTTTGGACAATATGTGTTTGTTTAAATTTTCCCACTCCCCCCTCATACCTGAGCCTAAATATTAACGTTAACCTAATAATCAACTAAAAACGGCCTTATCTTAACCTAGAATAATTAGAATGCGACTTCATGGATAGATATGATCTTCACTTTATTGAATACAGCAACGTTACAACAATATACGTGTAACGAAACACTTAATCCCCTATATGCACTGTAAATTACAAAAATATAAAAGAGCGAGAAATTAAAAAAAAAGTCGAATACTATTTACGTACTTGCAAGAAACATTCTTGCATCTATGTTTATATATAAACAAAGGAAAGGAAATTGTGTGAGCGTAGTTGAATAAATAAAATAAAAAAATATTTGGTATCGAATTATAATTTATTAATATTAATTATTAAGTCACATTAAAAGATATGTCTATAACTACAAATGATTCAAAAGTTGATAATGATCACTTGTCCTCTAATGAGTTGGGATTAAATAATATTGAGGAGACTACCAAAATTACTCATTTTGTATATTTTATGACATTTATTATTGCAATTGGTGGATTTATGTATGGGTAAATATTTATATCCTTTGGATTTTTTTTTTTGCAAAATTTGATATTATCCTTATGTGATCATGTGCATAGATAGATATAATAGTGGAGTTATTAGTGGTGCTATGTTACTATTAGAAAACGATATTCCTATGTCAAGTTTACAAAAAGGACTGGTTGTTGGAGGTGCGTTACTTTAATCTAAACCGGTTTAACATGTGTTGGAAATTCAATGTTTTCATGAAAAATGCTGTAAATGTTCTCGAATTTTTTAAAAAAATTATCGAATTATATCGTGAATCTTTAAATATAAAAGATCACTTTTAAAAAGAATGCTTTCGATTTAAGTTTAATGTTCTATGTGAACATCGAATTTCCAACACTAATATTTGTATGAAAATCTCTGAACTAATCATCATTATTTGAAATTAAAATTAGCAATGTTATTTGGCGCAATGGTTAGTGGCATATTTGCAGGTAAGTAAAATTCAAAATTTAAAGATTCGGTTACTTCCTAGACTCCTTGGTCTCCTCCTCGAAATTGAAAATAATTATCAGTATTTTTTCAGGGAGTGAACACTTAGGTGTCAAGTCAAAATATAATGAACAATTAAATTAAGATTCCACTTTACCTACGAACATTTTATTATACAGGCATTCTCTCAGATTATGCTGGAAGACGTATCACATTAATCCTAGCAGCGACGATTTTTGCTAGTGGTTCAATCATACTAGCATGTACATCTTTGTTATCTAATATAACGATTTCGCGTGTTATTATCTTGGTATTAGGTAGATTAATAATTGGAATAGGTATTGGTTTGGTATCAATGGTCGTTCCAGTTTATATTGGTGAGATATCACCAACATTCCATCGGGGAAAATTGGTGACAATAAATATTCTAATGGTAACTGGAGGTGAATTTGCTTCCTACTTAATCTCTATATTATTTTCGATACCTGAACATGGTTGGCAATGGTTATTTGGGATAACAGTAATTCCTTCATTGATTCAATTGATTTGTAAGTAATTGGGCTAAATTTGATTGAAAGATTATCTTTTGAAATGTCAATATTTAAATATTTATTTTTAGTCATGTATTTTATTCCTGAAAGTCCAAGATTCCTCTTGCGTAGAGGTAAAAGTGAGAACGCGCGAAAAGTTTTAATAAAGATATATCCTAATGCCCCCGGAGAATTTTTACAGAAAAGCAAGTAAAAAATCATCTTCAAATTAATTTTTAAATTCGGAGCATCTTAATATTCATTCAAATCTCTCTCTTTTTTTTTTTTTTTAGAAATTGACGAAATTTATGATACGATCTCTCAAGATGCTACAGGATCGTATAAACAATTAATTGGTTATCCAAATTTGAAACCGCTTATAATTGCATGTAGTCTTCAGGCATTTCAAAATCTTTCGGGGTTTAGCGTGACTATGTTTTACGGTGTAAGTTATAAATTTTTATAAACCTAATACTGTATAAATATACGTACAATGATTCATTTGAATTTCTATAATTAGGCAACTATAATGAAAATGATTGGGTTCAATTCTTCTAAAATTGCTATAACTTCTTCTTTAATTGTAACTGGAACCAATTTTCTGACAACTGGTTTGTTATGATTAAGTTCTGACAATGAACGTTATACTGTACTTAATATATAATAATTATTTAAAATTTATGTAACAAAAAAGCTATTGCAGTCCTCGTAATTGACCGTGTAGGTAGACGACGAATCTTGTTGTATACTATGATCGGTATCATTTTTGGCCTAATTATCATCAGTTCAGGTTTTTTTCTCATAACAAATAAGGTATTCAAATCGGAATCATGCATTGATTATGGTACCAATTGTGAAGCATGTTTAATTGACGATAGATGTAGATTTATAATATCTGGAACTTCAGGAACATGTGTACAAAATAATGGCACCTTATTAGAAGATCAACTTAATACTTGTCAATCAACTAATGTAAAAGGAGCTTGGTTAACTTTATTCGGATTATTCTTTTATGTAATAGGTGAGTCAGAATTTTGGGTAAGTAGAGTAGATTGAAAGCATATAATTTATGGTTATATACTTTTGTAGCATATGCCTTAGGGCTTGGAAATGTTCCATGGACTGTTCAAGGAGAATTATTCCCCTTAAATATACGTGGTAGAGCTGCTGGAATTTCTACAGGTAAAATATAGTTATATAAGATAATTATAAGCAGTTCGATCCTTAACTAACTTCAAGTTAATTTCTAATTCGTTGCAGCAACTAATTGGCTTATAAGTTTAACCATTGCAGTTTCATTTCTTCCATTAGTAGAAGAATTATCTATCGTCGGTAAATATAAAAAATTAATTTTTTTTTTTCAGATTTACACATTTACTGAGATTAAACCTTTTTTTTTTAATTGTAAGTAATATTTTGGTTATACGCTGTATTCATGATTGTCGGCTGGCTTTTTGTTTATTTTCTGTTACCAGAAACATCTAAAAAATCACTTGAAGAAATTCGCAACTTATTTTTATAAGACATTAAAAGAGTACGAACATAATTTCATAATTCTAACAATTCAAAATATTTTAAACCCGGGTGTTGATAAATGTTAATAATTAAAATCAATAGTAAAATTTCTTAAAAAATATATCGATATAGAAAAAAATCAAAATCTGAGTAGCAAAATTTGAAATAAATTTTTTTTTTTTTCTAAGTGTTGGATACTACGCAAATTTAAATCTAAATTACACTAAAGTATATTCACATCAAAATAACCCATTATTAAATTTTATACGATAAAAATCAAGATAATCAATTTTTGTAATATGTACTTAGTTCCAGCGAGACGAGTCGCGCAGCTAACTTAATATCTATTTCTATAAATTTCGATAGATTTAAAAAATAAGATAATATTAAAATGATCTATGAAAAAATTGTAAAATGCAAATTAACGTATCTGTGTATTTTCAAATATGATATATTAATTATTATACCTCCCAGTATTCATTAATGTACAGAGTGCCTATTTATTTGGGTACAAATTAGATTTAAACACTAAATTTTCCAGGGATATATGTACAAGTCAAAATCAGCATCTGTAATTTAGTAAATACAGCTCATCCACCCCTATTTTATTCTCCACGATGACTTCTTGACAATTTAAGGACATTAACTCTTTAAAAGTTAAATAAATAAATTATTGCTTTAATACGTCTCGGATTGTTTATAGCGTGAGAGGGAAAAATGTGACCTAGCTGTAGGCACGTGAGTGTAAGAGAAAAACGTGAACTAGCGAAGGCACGTGAGAAACATAACCACCGAAGCCAAGCCGCAAGATCCCTTGCATTTAATAAATGCTATATTGGGTTTAGCTCGAGGTGAAGCCCGTTGAGAACAATTGAATAATGGCTTTGTGGGAACAAAGGCTATTGTAGATCCCCGATATTAAATTGTAAAAGCTTGATGGATCTCTCATGTATAAAAGTTCTTAAATTCTGTTAGTAAAGAGACGGATAAGTTATCATTTGGTATTAGTAAAGACTTACCTTAAAGCCAGGATCTTGGTGGCAGTAAGATCTTTGGTTCTCGAATCAAATCTTCCACGTCTCTTTTGAGTTGCCTTGTGTCTTGGCGTTACATTACGTTTTAGTCATGAGGGACCCAGTAGCCCGAATCCGCCCCTTACAATAGTTTCCGAAAATAATTTACTATTTGCAGATATTATTGCCGAAATTATATTTCATTAAAAATTTAACGTTTGCCGAAATTAAACCAATTTAGTTACACATCTATAAAGTGAACACCAAAAAAATTGAAGTTCACATCAAGTGTTAACTAACAGGGGGCTTAATATATTGCTCTACAAAGGGTTAGTTATAAGCAATACAAAAATATAAAATAATATGTTAAAACACTTTTGGTTGCTTAACGGTTACTATTGAGTAACTAAAAGTGTTTAACACATTTTTTTACACTTTTACTGTATACTAATTTTATTAATAAAGTTGTTGAACAACTAACCCTTTGTAGAGCAATATACCAAGTCCCTGTTAGTTAATACTTTCTGAAGCACCTTTAATAAAATCATACGATATACTTTAAAAGGTCACACCCATTATTAATTTTATTTTATTATTGTGTTAATATTTTTATTGATTCATTATTTTTATTATTATTTTATTATTTTATTTTTTTTTTAAAAAGTTAATATTATATTTGTTACCTCTGACTTGTTAAAAAAAAAAAAAAAAAATGATATTTTTGTAACGATGATATGACATTTTCCATTTTTAGATAATATAAGTTTTACGTATTAAGGTTTACGTTGTATAAGTATTGTTCCGCGAATGTGTATTCGAGGAATATTTAAAATTCTGGCATCATACAATTGGATAACTATTGATTACAGGATTTCAAAAATTTTCTGCGATTCTAATTCGGGAACACGGTTGTGGAACAATATTAATCTATTAACGTTAAGAAGTAATTTTAATATATTCGGAAGATATTAATTTTACAATTTTAAATTAACTGTCAACTTTCAAAATCATTAGCTCAATGTCAAAGCAAAATTTACGAAATTTCTTTAATAATTTTCTATTAAAAAGCGAAATTACAAGTGTTAATTTTTTAAAAAAAATTTTTTTTTAAACTGAAACTGAATCTAACTATTTAAAATTAAACAAATTTGTTGAATTGAGATTTTCAGACGATATGCGGCAAAAATCTCTTTGAGTATGTTCTAGGAGCTGTGACAAAGAGATCAGATGACTTTATTGTTAATCACGTGTACAATTTGTAGATTAGCCTTTTTGAGAGGGGTTTAAAGTTTTTGGTTAGTTTAGGTACACATGTGAATATGGTAAGGGAAAAAGGTTTTTTCGGGGTGGATACAGAAGGTTATCTTTCTTTTCGCAATCGCTCTCCTTAAGATAGAAAAAGGCTGGCTCCCCCATTTCTGAGTGGCTCAACGACTGTGAGTAATACAATGATCACAGGTTTATTTTCCCGATAGATAAATTACTATATCCTCGTTTTTGGTTTGACCTTATTCTCTCTATAATATATCCTTCACTAAATTATGAGCATGTTAAATTGTCTTTAAATCGATTAGCTTTGTGAAATTGTAATTATTTGTATATGTTTTTTCATATAATTTTAATTAGAAGTAAACGACAGGTTTACTTAGTAAAAAATGAATAATAAATTTTCCTAACATTTATTGCTCATTATATTGAGAATTATATAATATCTTGTAGTGATAATATAAAAAATAATTGTTCATTACTATAACTATTGTTTTTGCTGTACCTATACTATTGTATGCAAGAGTGTTACTTCAGTTTGTACCAACTAAACATTATTTAAATCTAGAGATTCAAAATTGCTCCTTTAGTTAAATGGTAAGTGCATGCATAAAGCCATATATACATACTGATCTTAACCAATATTGGCTCATTCTAATCAAATGCACGATACACTAATACAAAAGTTGTAAAAAAATTCATTAACCAAAAGAATATTTCGAATATTTTCTATCTTTTTAAAATGTTAATAAATTTCTACTTAATAACGATATAAATTACTGAAATATCTAATTATTTGGACACGTAAGAAAAACACCACAGGTTAGCTTTATTATTGTATTTAGAGAGGGTAGTTAAATAAAATTCGTACATTTATCTTATAGGTGGATTCTGAATTGATTTTTGATATCAACATAGCTTATGTGAAATTGACTAAATTACAAAATTGTTTAATGTTTATTTTGTACGGAATTATTAATGACTTTGTTTTCCATAACAGC